GAGGAATGGACCGTCCCTGCTGCAGTTGTCCAATGTTCAGACATTTTTCCAAAAGGGAAGACTCTCTGCTGAGACTTAGCAGTGTGGGAGCTTGGATAAGAAGGCAACAGGCTCTACTTTCAGGGCTGCCTGGGGGTCCTCTCTTTCCATGCCTCCAAGTCCCCAGACAACATGATTTAGGTGTCTTCTTTGCCCTTTTAAGGTCAATATTACCTGACTAGTTGCTGAGCAGTGGTGAGGAAGGGGATGTGGGTTCAAGATATGTGATTAACACAAAACATACTTTTAGATGGAGGAATAAATGGCAACCCACTCCAGTATTCTTGTCTGGAGAATACCCATGGACAGAGGAGCCTGGCGGGCTGCAGTCCATTGGGTCACAAGAGTTGGACACAACTGAGTGACTAAGCACACCCACACATACTTTTAGAAATAATTTTTAGAAGTTTAAGCACGCTTACTATATAGTTGCTTTTGGATTGTTCTGGATTGTTTTGGATTATTGTTACCTCTAATTCTTGGGGAATATTAATTGTTCTGCTCATAACTTCTACTAACTCTCCCTCATAATAGTCTGTATTTATATGAGGTCTGTCATTTGATGTAGTGAGCTCATCTTTAGTGGTGGACTTGTTTCTGTGGGAGTCACATGAAGATTTGCCCTTGTCCTGCTGGGGTTTCTGAGTTGGTTACTATCCTGGACAAACTTGTATGTAAGTTCTTCACTGGGAGTTCCTGCCACATGGTGTACATTTGGACTCAGGGTGAGGCTTGGGGCTTCCACTTCTCGTAGAGACATTATATTGCCCTCATTTGCGTCCATGGGCCCTGGGGATGACTTTGCGGTTTCCCTTTCATAGACAGTGTTGTCCTGCTTTGTTCCTGACTTTATTCAGGGGAATACTCAGTTCTAGTTGCTGCTTCTCTGGGGCCCAAGATCATGTTTTCTGTCTGGTGTGTTACAACCCCAGCCTCCCCCAGTTAGGGTCTGCCTCCAATGTGGCCTCTCACACATTGCTCTGGGTTTGAATCTCCCTCTGTTTCTGATAGCAGAGGGTGAGGTTTGGTTGTGTATTAGCAATTCTCATTGTTATTTATCCAGCTGTGTTTTGGTGAATTTAACCCGCCTTGTTTCTGGACATCGATCGCATTCATCTGTTACCCCCTGGGACTTAAAAGAGGGTGGGGAGAACTTCACTGGCATAAAGCTCCCTAGTGCGCAGCAGTGAGGCTCACCAGAGGCTGTGAAGCCCACTCACTCCGTGCAGCAGCTCTGGGGCCCAGTGTATCCCTTGAGTTCTAGAGAGAACATGGAGAATCTCCGTACAAGCCCTGACTTCTTCCCACACCATCTTGCTCCACTGGGGCTCCCGGGCAGGGAACCTGCTCTCATTATCAGTGTGGATCTTCACCAGGCAAAGTGAAGATCTAAATGCTCAGAAGCATCTCCAAGTGACTTTGGGAATCCTGAAACTAGTATTCATCTTACTCTCGCAGATCAACATCACTGCCAAGGTCCCTTCACCCCCTTCTGCAGCTGCAGACCTGGCCAGGCACGCAACAAGAGGAGTCACAGTGAGGAGGTCATGGGAAAGAGAAGCTCTTTTCTACCAGTGATGGGAGACGTGGAGGCATCAGCACAGTCAGAACCAGAGTCCTCACTGAAAAGGCCCTGACTCAAAGGCCCCTGGGACCACTGAGGGGTTGATGGCAGCCTCGCTCTGAGGTCCTTTGAAAGGGTAAGAAGGTTGTAGAAGGTTGCCACAGCCAGGAAACCTGAGGAAGCTTGGGGCTAGAGTGCCCCCCACCCACTCTCTCATCCAGTTGGCCCCCTTTGCCTTATCACTTAGGAGAGACTCGGCTCTGTTCCAGACCAGCAGCCTAGAGCAGTGGGCTGGAGAGAAGAGGTGCTGCTGAGCTGGAGCAGCCCAGCGGCGGAAGGGAAAGTGGGTGATAAATTTAAATAACCAGCTTGACTTGGCAGCTTGCTGAGTTGTGATGCAGTGAAATTAAAATCTCGGCAGAACTTGCAAACACTACCCAGAAAAATCCGTCTCTCTCTCTGGTTCCATGATGGAAGGTAGGGAGGGGAGGCATTCGGGCCAAGCCCCAGCCTCCAGCAGCCACCCTTGCTTGCAATGTGATTAGCTGTGTCCTGGCCCACTGGGCTCCACTCTCCCCTCCAAACAATAGTCCAGGTTCCTCTCTCTTCTCAGTCCTGACCTTGTGGAACAGCTGCATCAAGTGGCTGGTGAAGTTTGAAATCAGCCTCTGGTGCCAGGAGGTGGCAGGAATATCAATAAGGTCGGCTTGTTGGGTTGGGCTAGGACTTCCTGAGCTGTTTCTTTAGGACTCGAAGAGGTTTACAGCCTCAGCTGCCTGTCTCCTGGGAGGAAAGTGAGCTGGGGGTTTAATTTAGGATATGGGAGGTGAAGAAGGCTCCTCAAACACCTGAGCATATTCAAGCTGGACTGTGGCCACAGGATGCCCTCTCTCACCTGGAGCACACACCTGGCCAGAATCACCTGCTGGAAAGCTCCAGCCCTTTCCTCCCCCACCAAAGCCCTTCATACTCTCCAACCAAATAAAACCATAAAGAATCTTAGGGGGGAATTTTTTCAAATACACTAAAAGCCAATCCTGTATCCGAGCTGTTCTTGGAACCCAATTCTAGATACCAACATCCTTCTAGAAAAACTCACCCAAAATCCACCTCTCTGATGTCTGCTCTCTTTATATCACTACTCACTGCTACCCACAAACTCCTGGCCTGAAGGCCAACTTGGTGGACCCAACTCCTGAGATGGTCCAGGAAACCTCTGGGCACTGCACTGTTCCTCACCTTGACAGTACCTCCAGCAAATTCTGTTCGTCCCCATAATAAACACATCATGAATCATTCATCTTTAATAGATTATGCAAATTAGGAGGACATAAAATCAACAAAGATCAATAACTGCAGCCGTTTAATTGCCAGCAAAAACATTTTAAGAATGAGCATAATCTGTAGCCCTTTCTTGGGTAATGGCACCATTAATCCAAACCTTGGATCTTGGCCTAAGTCTAGAAAAATCATTTCCTGCCCCCTTACCCCCTCCCATTGCCCCTCCCCCACTTCTCCACACACTTCTCTGTTTTTGGTAATTTCCAGTTTCTGAGCGAGTTTCCCCGTCATTACCACTGGTGAACAGCTCCGAATGTTAATGGTTCTGCTTTTGTTACTCCTCGCTTGATTGAAATGTCGCATACAGATTGAGATGTTAGTGCTAACTTGCCACCTGGGAATGTCAAGCTGGGTCTGAAATGAACTTTTCTCACACTTGGATCCAGATGGATCAGCCGGAGATGTTCCCAGGCTGAGCTGGGACTGTTCCAGGGCCATGGGGGGGAGGCGGGCGGGGGATGCTCAAGGTGGAGGCACTTTTCTGTACTAGCCTGAGTTCTCCTGCTGTAGGAACCCTGCCCCAGAGATCCTTCTCTCCACTCCAGGAAGCCTCTACCTTCTGGATGGTGGCCCTAGGCCCCGGGAAGCATAGCTGGGGTTGGAGATGTCTTCTGGGCTCTGATTTGCTGCTGCCTTGGGGTGGGCCACCTTTGGGAAGTGACCACTGTAACTCTCAGCAGATCAGAAGAAACGTGACCCAGCCTAGGCCATTGCTCTTCCTTGGGTCGGAACGCCTACAGCTCAGAGAGCTTCTGTACTGGGTGATGGAGTGTCTCCTGCTGAGGGCCAATGGGTCCTGTGCTGTGTCCTGACCCAGCTTTTGGTTGTCACTCCCAAAAGCCTGTCCAGAACTCAAACTCTGACTGCCTAGGCTAAGAGTTCAACTCTGTCCAGGCCGGAAACAGTGAGACTAGGACACCCCTTAGGGAGAATCTGGAAGCAAACAACAGGGCTCTCCCAAGCTCCCCAGGTGGAAGACTCTGGTGGCTGCTTGCAGCCCATCTCCGACCTGAGCCGTGTTCAGAACACCTCCAAGTTGAAACCTGTCCTCCAGTGAGGCCAAGGCCACTCCCTGTCTCTGCTGCTGGCTGCTTACAGTTGGGCTTCCAGGTCCCCAGGCCACCTCCATGCGCCTTGCTCAGCAGGTAATGCCTCAGCATCTCCCAATCCCCACCGAGACCCTTCTCAGTCATTCTCTCTTCCAAGGAACAAACGGCACATTGGCTTTATTGTCTCCAGAATAATTAGGTGAATTTTAATAACACCTCGATGTGTGTCCCTCCCACCTGGGCACTTTCCTGGCCCGGAAACGCTTTTCTACAGTGCCAGCCTGCAGCTCGGAGGCCAGAAGTGTCATTAGCTGGGCCCTCCACTGCGCCGTACCTCAGCCTTCTTCCCCTCTAGCTGCCTCTGCTGCTCTTCATCCACCTGGATTAGGTGCCCTGCCCCCTGCATCGAGGGACAGGACCCTGTCTGGCCTTGAAATCAAGGCTTGGTCTCAGTGATGTCTCTGAGAAGCTGGAGAAGGGCTGAACTAATTGAGCTTATCTATTACCACAGAACCGGATGCCATGCCCTGAAGTCCAAAGCCAAAGCTTTGGCACTCCCGGGCTGCCCAGAGGAGAGGGACACAGGTCCTCCAGGGGGCTTGGGAGTGTGGAGGCTCAACATTGGGCACTCAGGCTCCATTCTTGCTGGCCTGGCTTATTTACCCTCCTTCTCCCATTCACATCCTAGCGAGAGGCTCATAATTCTCACCACCTTGGTAGAGGCAAGAAAAAAAGGCAAAGAAAGAGGCTACAGGATGGGCAGAAAGAACCAGCTATAACGCCTCCTGGCTTTGACTTCTCCAGGCTGCGGCACACAGAGACTCTGCCCATGATGTTTTCTCCCACATCTGTACACATCTGTTGAGGAAGCGCCCTGGCTTTTGGAGACTCGCTCTTTCTACAGAGATCATGGCAGGGAGCCCACTTGTCACACTGGGCCCCAGATGGCATAGGCTGAGGCGCCCCCACTGAAAGCAGTTTCCCCACCCTCCTGAAAACCCCCTTACCAGTCACAACAGGGTATGTCTGCGTGCCTGACACGTTGCTGCCCAGCTCAGGGTTGGTGGATGCAGATAGACTCGACTTGACTTCATCAAGCCCAGGGGTCAGGGCTGGGAGGGAGTACTCATTCCCCTGGGAGAAGAGAGAAAAGAGACAGCTCGCTATTGACGCACACATGCGAAGAGAGAGGCCTCGGTGTGCAGATGGGGAGGAGGGACAGGGAGCCCTCCCAGATGGGGTGGAAGGAGCTGGCCAGGCAGAGGGCGGGGAGGGTGGGAGGGGTGGGCTCAAGGGATGATGCAGAGTTGTGTGTGGGGGGAGGCAGACCTGACTCTGGGAAGTTGAGGGGCAGCCCGTCCATTCTCGGTGGGTATCCAAGCACCCTTGACCTCTCTGTAGCATCTCCTGCTTAAAAAGCCCCCAAGGGCAAGGTGTAGCAGTGGGAATCCCCCTGGTAAGAGGCCAGGGGTGTTTTCAGATGCCCAGGGGTAGGGAGTCTCAGGGAGGAGAGATGAACCCTGAAGCGATGGCAGAGGCAGGAGCTGGGGGAAGGGCCTAGTGGGGCCTCCAGCCTAGTACTGCTGGGCTGCTGATCGGGTGCTGGCGCCCCTTTTTAAAAAACAAACAAAGACAGCCTCACGGGCCCCTCACTCTCTGCCTGTGCACTGGGGTATGAAATTGGGGAGGGGGAGAGTCCACATGGCTAACAGAAGGGTGGGAGGGGGCCAGTCATTGACTCTGAAAGGGTGTCCTGCCTGAAACACTCCGGTAATTGCCTTTTTATTGCAGCCACCGCCAAGCCAGACCCCAGAACTGGGCCGACCAGGAGCCCGCACAAAGCAGGAAAAGTTGCTCTGATTAATATTACATTAAATTAAAACTGATTTTCTGCGCTTTCGGGTCCGTTTTTTTCTCTTCCGCTTCCTGGCCCCCCCCAGAGGACCCCCCCACTCCTTGGCTGGACAGGATTGCCTCGTCATTTCCAATTCCTTCTCGTATTGATCTTCCTGTAGAAATCAGTTTTGTAATTAGCTGCAAATTAGGCCTTCTACTGGGGGTGAAGCTGCCCCCTGATTTATCACCAGAGTAATTCGCTGTGATCGGAGAGAAATTAAAATGAACTCAATTAGGCTTCGGATTTGCTTTATGGGCCCTGCTCCGAGTTTCAGGGGGAAAAATGACTGTGCTGGTGTTTAATAGTCTAATGAAAGTAAATAAAGGTTATTCATTGTAATACAGCCGGGGACTCGGGGAGGGTGCACCAAGCCGCCCGCCTCGGCCGGCTCCTCCTTTGTTGGTTTATGGCTCAGGGCACCTTAAAAAGACTTTTGATTTTTGTTTTATGAAGACAAACAGCTTATGGGATAAAAGGACGGGCGGGGAGAAAGGCGAATGGCTGGGAGCTGTTGGAGTCCCGAGTAGAACTGTGCTGTGCAGAGTCTGTGCGGCTGTGCTGGTGCATTGTGAGCGGGTGTGAGCTGAGTGTGCAAACATGGCAGGCTGTGTTGTGCTGGCTGTGGGCCTGGCCCGGGCCGTAGCGTGTGTGTGCGCTCCTGTGTCAGAGCATGCACATGCAGCGGGGGTGGGGGGCTATCCTGTCTTCTGGGTGGAGGCGAGCATGGAGGGGTGCTGAGTTGGTGGTCTGGGGGAGGGCACACCAACAGGCTGATGGGCTATGGGGGAAGGGGTGGGGAGGGAGCAGGTGGGTGCTGGATCGTCTGTGAACACATGCAACCGGGTAAATGTCAGGAGTCAGGAGGTGTGTTCTGTATATTGTGTTGGGGTGTTCTGGGTTGTTCTGCATCTGTGGGAAGTACTGGGTCTGAGGGGTGGGCTGTCAGCCTGCCTGGGGTCATGATGGACAGCAGGGTGAGGGAGCAGAAGGCAGGCACTGGGCTCTCCTCCTGACATCTCCTGGGGCAAGAAGAGCATCCAGGCTTCCTCAGACTTTCTGTAGGACCCTGGGGGCATTTAGGCAAGGGGTGTTCCTGAGTATCCTATGCCAGGAGCACAAGATGGCAGGGCTGGAAGTGACCTGTCAGGTCTTCTGTCCCAGCCCTTCATTCTACATACAGGGAAACTGAGGATGGGGCTGAAACTGAAAGGGGGTAAGACTCGCCTATGGTCATACTTGCACCCGGAACTCACCATTTCTAACTGCCACATACCATGATGATTTTCTCAGCTTTGTCATAATGTCCTTATGTGAGGGTGCTTACAGGGCGCACACGCATGGCATACCTACAGGCAGCACACGTGATGCTGGGTATGCACCTGGCTGACCTGTGTGCACGACCTCCAGAAGCCTTGCTCTGCCCAGTCCTTCTCCCTTCTCCAAGCAGGCAGCTCCTTCCTCACCTGCTCTGATTTGATGTGCTCTGATGCCTGGAAGACGTCAGGGTAGGAAGGACGCTCAAAGACCCGATCCAAAGCTTCCAGCTGCTGCTGGGTGAAGGTGTCAGCCCGCAAGTGCTTCCGCAAACTGTCCACGCCACTCTGGGAGTCTCCATTGGGGACTGAGCCCTCGGACACATCTGGAGGACACAGGGATACTCGGGGCATGAGCACAGGTGAGCAGAGGCCCGGAGCGAAGCAGTGGGCAAAGGGGGTGGGCACTTGGCTGGGTGCCCTGGGCTCTGCACCCCTTCTAGCACCCCTATGCCCAGTTTTGAGGCTTGAGGGGCTGACCCAGGGGCTGGCCATGCCTCAGAGTCCTGACTGAGGGAGCCAGCACCCCTGAACGACATGGGAAGACAAAGGGATGTTGTCACAGCTGGGGGTGGGGGTGGGGAGGACTAGGCAGAGGTGGGGGAGCCAGAGGGGCTCTTGGGCACCGTCTCCTCAGGATGTCTCCCCTGGACCCCTCCTGTTCCTCAGCCCTGGGTCAGCCTGGGGGGAGGAGCTGGGTATCTAAGGCCAGCATTACTGAGCCTGTGGAGAATTGAACTTGGCTCTGAGATGAATTTCAGTTCCACAGACTCCAAGGGTGGAAAATCATCAAATCTCCAAGGCTGAGTGTAACACAGAGACTGGGTGAAGTAATTAACTTCACCACCGAGGGAGGAGGGACTCGGGGCCCAGCGGAGGCTCTCTTTCTAGGTCGGCCCGGCCTGAGGTTGGAGCAGGAGGAAGGCAGGTGACCCGGGAGCCAGAAAATGCGACTCGGACAGAGATTGAAGCCCAGGTCCTTGCAGATGCTGTGTGTACTCTGAGGCAACCCCCCCTCAGCCTCTGTCCTTGACCTGAACTCTGGCTAAACTCTGCCAGAGGCCTGCTCCTTGGCCACTTGGTTCCTCTCACCATCTCCACAGGGAGCTGAGACTCACCCCGGGTCTGGAATACCAGGATAGTACCAGAGCGCCCACTCCCTGGGGCTGCGGGCCAGTCCCATCTGTGTGCTGCTTTCCCTGGGCCTCCCACCACTCGGCTCCCCCTGCCTCCCTGGCCCTGCCCTCTCCATCTGGCCCGCAGGGGTTTTCAGAGTGCACAGTGGGCCAAGCACCCGCTCTGCCCACATTCCCCGAACTGCTGCCCCGCCACTCCCTGGGCCCAAAGCTGGGTCCTCGCAGTCACCGCTTGGCCACTCCTTGGCTTCCTTCAGTCTGAAACCAGCTGGGGAGTCTTGGACCTGGGGCCAGCCATGCTGGAGGCCCCAGGGTGTTCCTCTAGGACTGTTATATATATCAGTTTATAGGTGATTATATGATATGATATAATCAATATTGCATTATATACAGTAACACCATACAGTATCATTCAGGAGACCATAGAAAATATTACATATTGATTAACCTCAACCTGCAGCCATCGTCTCTTGCTGGTCTCCCAGATGGAGCAAGGGGGTCGGCTTTCCTAATGGGACTTCCTGTCTTCACTCCATCCTGGAGGGGGTGGGAAAGCAAAGAAAGTGTGTGTGTGTGTGTGTGTGTGTGTGTGTGTGTGTGTGAAAGAGAGAGAAATGGAGACCAGGATGATGTCTGAGGTGGAGAGACAGACACGGGGACAGCATGAATGATATTTTTATGTTCCCTATTTTCCTAAGGCCACAAAACTTGTTGTGTTTTTTCTGTGTAAGCCTCTGGAATGATTTTCTGTCTTAGAGGGAGTGTGTGCTTTTCTCTATATGCGTTAGGTGGTGACATATTTATTTTCCCCTTTTGTGTATCTTCTGTGTACATGCATGCATTTATACACATATACACATCCAGATAAGTGTCTGGGTATGTATAAGTGACAGCACAAGAACCTTTTGGAAAAGGTGTGTGTGTGCTGGTGTGACTGCACAGGAAGCGTGAACCCACATCCCTATGTTTCTCCTGCACCTGCTTCTCTTTCAAGGACGTGCCATCATCCTAAGGCCATCCCTTGGAGCTATTAATATTTGCATATGTCACTGTGTCTAATCTTCTGTTGCTGGAGTCCTACCTTTTTGGGAAGCCTTTCTGTCCAGGCAGAGAGAAACAGTGAGTGTCTTTGTGTGTGGTTATCCCAGTGTCACCAGTGGGTCCTGGGGAGTCAAGTACATTTGTCTGTGAACACAGCCTCACACGCTATGTGCATGGGTGTGCGCTATGTGCAGTGAGACTCATACTTTGCCTCTCTGTAGATTTGTGTATATGCCTGTGTGTGGCTTGGCTCAGCCTGTGTGTGTGTGTGTGTGTGTGTGTGTGTGTGTGTAGGGGCTGAACTGAAGCTTTGTCCTTAGGTCACTGGCTGGAGGAGTCTCTTTTCCTTCATTTATTCAGGGGCCCTTCAGATCTTGACAAATCTGTCACTCTAAATTTGCGAGAGATTATGGTGCTCTCTCCCCAGCCCGCAGAGAGGTGATATATGATATCTGCTGCCCCTATTGATTGCCTGATCTGGTGGCAGAGGCCGGCGAAATGAACTTGAAATGAACATCATGCCTCAACTCATTGTGCGTATAATACACTACTTAATCCCACATTTTTCAGCTGCTATGGAATTCAATTGATCAATCATGTTCCACTGATAGTACTGTTTTAGGGGTTATTGCTGCTCCCTCCACTCACTGACCTTTTTATTTATTTATTTTTTTTCATATACTCAGGCCCTGGTGATAAGACAGGTTACAGAGGCAGCCATGGAAAGGGGAGGGAGGGAAAGGTGAAAGGAAGGCTGCTCCTGGAAGAGGTGGCGGGGAGACGGGGAATGGGGAGAAGGGGAGAGGGAAGGGGGGTGGGGTGGGGAAGAGACAGAAGGTGCCAGAAGGGCAGAAAAGCAAACCAGGGTGGTGGAGGCATGAGGCTACCAAAGGCTTGAGGAGGCCCCCCCAAAGGAGAAGGAAGGTGATAGGGAGAGGGGAAGGCAGCAGTTGTGATGAATGGCGAAGGAGCACAAATAAAGTTGTAGGGAACAGGGTGGAGAGTCGCAGGGCCAGGGAGAGGACAGTGGCATTACTGGTCGGGGACAGGGCAGCAGTGCCCCCCAGACCAGCCAGTGGGCCCACAGGCTCTCACAGGCTCTCCCCAGAGGCCAGGGTGGCACCCTTCCCTCGGCTAGAGAAGGCAGGAGGAGCAAAGGCAGGAGGAAGGGTGGAGAAGGGAGGCAGGCAAGGAGGCCCGGACTCAGAGGTCCAAGGAGGAGGAAGCTCAGGGAAGGAGGAAAGCCAGAGGCAGAGACAGGGCAGAAAGAAAGAGAGGAAGAAAGGGAAGAAGCTTCCCACACCAGATGCCTAGAGAAGCACAGGCTGTGCTGAGGGCATTTGCCCACTTGCCATAGGAATGAGCCCAGCTGGCTCTGCTTTCCTGGAAGCCTGGGGATCCAGAGGAGGAGCAGAGTGCAGGACCTGGGTGGGGGTGGGGCTGGAGGGTAGAGGGCAGAGGAGGGAAGAAGAAGAGAGTAGAGGAAGAGCAGAAACCATGGAAGAAGAGAGCTGAAAAGGAAGAGAACATGAAGCCGTTGCCAGTGCCTCCCACTGGTCGGGGTTCATCCTCAGGACATGGAGAAAGAGGGCCCGGGTGGGTCTTCCCAAAGGTGGAATCTCAGAGGTGGCATCGGGGGAGGGATGGGGCTGGGCTAGGAGACACTGCCAGGCCCAGGCACTGGAGAGCTCTCTGGGGCGAACGTGGAGGAAGAGGCAGAAGTAAGTCTTGATCTGGGCTAAAGAGCGAGCAAGAAGGAAAGTAATTAGATAGCATCCACCATGCCAAGGAGCCAGGCTGGGAGCTCCCCATGGGCAGGAACCATGACTAGTGCATCTCTATAGCTCCAGTGCCAGGCACGGCGCTGGGCACAGAGTTGGTACTCAATGAATGAATGAATGAGGCTTTCCTGGGTAACAGTCAAAGCCGGACCCCTGGCAGAAGGTCTCTAAACCAGCCACCTGGCTGACTTGGCATCCCAGGACATCCAGTCACTTGTCAGGCAAGTCCCATGCAGCTCCAGGTGTCAGAGGATGTGGGAAACTCACAACAGGCCCTTGCATAGACTCACACACATTCTGCGCCCGCTCCACTGCTTGTTAACTTCCAATAGCATCAACTCTGGTCCATGGAGGCCCTTCCCACTCACACCAACACCTTCCTGCCTACAGTACTTCTGCCCAAGAGACAGAGCACACTGTGTCCCCAGTTAAGAGTGAAACTTGATCTCAGAGCTGCAGATGCCATCTAAGGCAGCTGGCAGAGGCTGCTTGAGAACAGGGCCCAGAGACGGCCCTTACGTTGGACTCCCCACACCAAAGCTCTGGTCACAAGGTATGGGATAAAGTGGGTCTACCTGCTTATTTCTGGTTCCAGGGAAGTCCTTCCCTAAATGACACAGTGGGCCCTCAGCCTTCACCTTGATGGGAAAACCAGCCCAAGCCTTGTCAGGGCTCGAAGAGGAGGGCAGGAGTATGATGCCACATGTCCTGAGCTTTCTGGAGCAATTCTGATTTCCAATATCTTTTCCCACTCTCAGGCCCCACTTTCAGATTGAGGTTGGAAAATGTGGTTGCTGATGGTTTAGTAACCTTGCCCCCTCCCCCGAGGGGACACCCTGTACTTGTTGGTCTCAGTATGTGGAGGGTTCAGTCCTGTTCTGCTGTCACTGCTCAGCCACCATCCATGAGCAGCTCACAGCACTGAGAGCTTGTTCCATTTAACCCTCCATCTAATTCTCCCAACAACCTGCGAGGTAGATGATGTGATACCTCTTTTAAAGATAAGAATGGGACTTCTCTGGCAGTCCAGTGGTTAAGAATCCATCTGCCAATGCAGAGGACACGAGTTCGAGCCCCGGTCCAGGAAGATGCCACTTGCCGCAGGGAGACTAAGCCTGTGAGCCACAACTACTGAGCCTGCACTCTAGCATTGGTGCTCAGCAACAAGAGAAGCCACCTCAATGAGAAGTCTGCACACCACAATCAGAGAAAGCCTGTAAGCAGCAGCAATAAAGACCCAGCACAGCCAAAAATAAAAACATTTTTTAAAAAAGGAAACAGAGGCAGAGAGGTTAAGTGGCTTATCCAAGGCCATGCAGCTGGTAAATGAGTTCGGATTTGAATTCGGGTCTGTTTGAACCCAGACCC